AGGGTGCTCCGGAGGACACATGAGAGCATATTTGGGCGTGAAGCAGAAGGAAGGGGAAATCCTGTTGCTGAAGTGCATCTCCTCTTGTGCAACACTGGGTATCACCTAAGGTAGCTATCTGTGCATATCCTTGAATGTGGATCGTCCCCCCGCACCCCCCAGGGTTGCTTTTCTCTGGAAGCCCTGCAAGTGAACCACTTGGCCCCCAGGGATCCGGTGCCTTCTTTCCTAGAAGCCTACGAATCCATCCAAGCCAGCTTTTACTATAAATGCTTTTGCATCCCACACAGAGAACTACGTGCAGCAACAAACCAGCCAGAAAAACCTGTAGGATGCATTCTTTGTTTCTGCAGTAATCCTCAAATGTTACCATGTCATGCGGTACCCTCAAGGCTCTACTGTGAGGTATTATTATAGTATTATTCATTGCTGTTAGCATGTAATGTTTTCCTAGTGCTTTCTATTAACCTGGGGGCCCCTGATTCCATTTCCAACTATGGAACTAAATGCATGGGTGTATTTATCAATTAAAGTGGAAATGAACATAAACAATCACTTTAAAGATCAGATGATTGCATGGTATCTAGAAACACTTCTGTGATAGGAAAGGAGATGCTACTTATCTCTGCTTTTTGTTAATAGTCTAATCTGGAAAATGAGTGTGTGTGGGGGCTGGGAGGGTAAAACATGTTGAGTGTAATGAAAAATAAATGGGCTGATTTGTGATATCTAGGAATAACTTCTAATTCAGAAATACTAAAGACTTCTCAGTTTATTGGGCACCAGTCCAAAATTGGTGGCAGCTTTCCATAGCTGATTCCAGATGAATTGCTCCGAGTCAAAAAGCTTTGTCTCTCTTTTCTTCCTTCCTGTGGTCCGATTTGAGTCATGCCACCAAAATAGCAGTAACAACAAACCTCATGCAAATGCCAGCCATACACTTACAGTATGACTTAGTCTGCAGCTCTTCCCATTCCATTAGATCCCGTTAGTAATGATCCTATGTCTTCCCAGTGGGTGGAACTTAACAGAATTGTATAGTTACCTTGCAGTAAACTCTGCTGAACTAAGTAGATTTACTTCTGGGCAGAAATGTTTAAGACTGAACAGTTTAAAGTAGTCTTCCTTCTGGTTTGCAGATCATGGAAAGTTTTTGTTTTGTTTTGTTTAAACTGGAAGGCCCATTCAGTATCCTACACACCCCCATAGCTTACTGGTGTGTATCATTGTTAGCGACTCAATATGTGCCTCTTGATTTCAACATCGAAAGTTTGCTGTGTAGACCAGGGCAGGCAAACAAAAAGGGTTCCGCTTACTGGACTGCAGAGCTGAGCTGGCAAAGGGAGTGGCAGGCAAAGAAGGCCAAAACAGCTTTTCTGCGGGAGGAGGAAACTGACGGGAGTGCCTCTGACTCAGAAGCTGCTCCCAGTCAGGGCTAGGCTGAGAGGCACAGGGGCTTCTCTTGAGCAGAGTGGCTGTTCCCTGCTTCTCCTCTGCTTATGGTATTACCTGTACTCTTCTCTGCGCCCAGGTAAAGGGTGCCTCTTCAGATCAGGAAGCATAATGCATAATGCATTAGAGGATCTGGGCCAGAGCTTGCCTTCCTAGAACTTCATAAATGCCTGGAAGATCCATATTTCCTCATAACTGCCTATGCATGAACGAATGGAAAGTGAACAGAGCAAAGATGTGTCTCTGTGCACACAGCCAACAGCTTCCTTAAATGAGTATCTTGCAGGGAAGAAGGAAGGGGAGGATAGATCCATGGATGGTTTTATGTAGCCTGTATGAAACTTGCATATAATGGGAAATTGAACTAAATTGAACATTTAGTCCCTTGGACTAAATCACTGGTGTAAATGTCGCTTTATAAGTCTGAACAATATGACTGCAGAAGTACTCTTGAATAAACAGGGAGAACTTTTGCTATTTGCTCACTGAAAGTTTGGGAGGTGATTAAAGGGAACCAGCGAGTAACTTGAAATGAAAGTATTGCAACTGCGTCCCCTTTCAAGCTGCAATCCTATGCACTTTCCTAGGATTAATCCCACTGAGCACTGTGCAACTGACCAGTGTATATCCCTGTATTCATCTGCAAGCAGCATCTAGACTGGCTGAGATGTCCAAGCTTGTGTTCTCCAACTTTGTGCCCTCCATATGGGTTGGACTACAACTCCCATGTTGGTTGAGCTATACTGGGAGTCTGCCAGTTGGGGAAAAGATGTCTAGAGCTAAACATGACTAACATGATTAGGCCTTGCATGTTTATCATTTTTTTAAAAAAAATCAATCAACTTGGGCAGGGGACAAGAATGGTGGAGTTGGGCTTGCCTTTAACATTTCGCTGCTGCTATAGCCCCAGTCCAGATCCGTTCCACCTGTCTGGCATTCCTTTAGGAAGAAAGCTTATAGTAGCACCAACAGGAATTTTCCTCTTTGTAATTAGACACTTTTGGATTGGGACCTTGGCAATGAAAATGGGGTTGAACCCCCTTCCTACTCTGCCATGGTTTTGACTGAGTTCCTGTCTTCTACACACATAACCCTGCAGCTGCTGTTTATGTAGAAGGTAAAAGAGGAGCAGATATATTTGTCCCTCCTTCCTGCCTAGATTGAAGATAGCCAATGCACCTTAACATGGTGCTCGAGGCCATAGGAGACAGAGGTGGGTGCTGTTTTTCTAGGATCAGCTTATGGTTCAGTAAAAGTCAGTATAGTTCAGTCCTGTAAACATCCGTTCAGAAGTAAGCCCTGTTCATTTATTCTCCATTTTATAGCTTCACTCTGTAAACATTTGATTTTTTTGAAAATGAAGAGCACTACAGTGACAAAAGAAAAGGGCAGTCTTTCTTTTTCCCCACCTTTGTTTGAAAAATATATTTGCTATTACTCTCTACATTAAAACAAACGAACAGTGGGGGTTCTATTTCCCTGAAGCATAAGTTTCAGGAATCACTTAAAATCTACTACAGAAATAGATGGAATCAGACTGAACATTAAAAAACAAGCAACATCGTCCCTCATTAGTCACTTAATTATTCTTTATGTAAACTGGTCAGCCATGCATGATGCTTCTTTGGAAGGTAAAGCTATTCCAATATTTCTAATTAAATATTATATGTTAACAACAATACAGTAGTTTTGACCTAAGGAATTTATTTTGGTCATTCATCAGATTTAAGGTTTGGCTTTTTACTTCACATTTTCATTTTTCAAACTTTTTAAAGTTTTTTTTTGTTTTTGTTTAACCTGGAATGCCTTCTTTTGGGGTCTGGTAAGTTTCACTTCCCCTTTCCTGCTCTAGCACATTCCTTGCAATGCATGCAATATTAAGATGTATTAACCGTACAGCCTAATCTTATGCAAGTTTATTCATAGGTTTGTTAGTTCTACTGATGCTGCTGAATTTTAACTGATTGACTCATTGGTCAAAACCCATAATGCTCACCTTTGAAATGAACCTGGGCTGACCTACTATGAATTAGCTACAAAATCTGGAGTTGTTTGAGAGCTTTGGAGCATGCTCATAAAGTAGTACATGATCCTTGCTCCCAAATTTTCAGTCACCTAGAAGACGACCTAAAACATACTTGAGGCAGTCTCCTGAGTTGCTTCCCTTATTGCTGCAGCTGTGGCTACTAATGGCCTTGGCTACTCCAAGGAGGAGGAGGCTTTGGAGGTTCATCTTCATACTAGAGTCAACACGTCCCATGACATCATCGTTCAGGTAGACTGCATGAAAGCAAAAATCAGAGGAGAGGCACATAACAGGGCGGTGCATGATGCCAAGTTGCCATCTGAGTGGGATGGTATAAACTGGTGTCCTGCAACGGCAGGGCGTTGGACCCAATGGTCCTCATGGTCACTTCCAACTCACCGATTCTATGATTCTATGCAGTTTCAAATCTTAGCTCCCTGGCTAATGTGCATGTGCTAAAACTAGTATCCATGGAATGATGGATTAAAGGAGAGCTCTGGTTTGCCCATTGCTAGGGCAAAGACTGCAGTGTTTAGACCTGCAACACCCAACTGAATCAAGCACACCCATTCTAAGTTACTCTTACAAAAAACATCAGCTATACTATGCACGCATGTAGGAAGACCTGTACTTCCTTTGGTAAAAATGGGAAAGAGTAGTATAAAGAAACATTTTCAGTATGGAAATCTTGCTGCATCTCCTCTGTGGAAATGGGCTGCTCTATATCCCCTCTTGCATGCCCAATGCATGGTTGACTAAGCATTGCTTGAACACACTGTGTGTAAAAATAAAGCACTGGGCTAGATATGATGCCAGGACATCTTCTAAAGACTGGTGGCAGATGGGTAGGCACGTACAGAAGCGCTAACCAGCCAGGTATGATGGGAGCTGGTGCATGACATTTGAAGGCAGAGCACCAATTCCCCCTGCCCCTGATCTAGAGTGTCCCACTCTATTTCAGGGACAAACCATCCAGCTCTTTCTTCCCAAGTGTTTGCCTGGGGGGCTTACAAAGGTAGAACATGCTACATTTAGGAAAGGATGGAGGTGCACTTTAAAAGGGACAGTCTCCCAGTCAAAGAGGTGAATAACTGGAGTTGTCTCCAGGCTTGCTTAGTGTGCAAAACTGTGTAAACCTCTGCTTTGTGTTGAATAAAGTACAGTTTGCATGGCAGATGGTGCCTATGAAACACAAAGGCAGTGCCAGAAATTATCTGTTGTTATCATCATCATCATCAATATCAGATGCAGGATGGCAGATCTCGCAGTGGGTGTGAGCTCCTGGAAGAAACAATAATGTGAAACATGATGGGGAGTAGCGGTCTGCTAGTCACTTTTGTTCTTAATGCCACTGGTTTCAGTGCAAGGGCACCAGCCTTCCGCTTCCCTTACTCCTTTGCTCCCAGCAGTATCCCCATCAGCTCAAGCAAATTCTCCTTCCAGGCAGGGCTGGGTGTTTCCAAGCCTTGTGGGTGGGTCTTCTGCCCCGGTCCGGGTTTAGCTTTCCTTCGCACAGCAACCAACCACTGGGGTTGCAGAAGTAAGCCCTTGAGGTGTGGCTTCCTGGTATAAAAAGCCACAAAATTGCAGCTGCGTTGCTCCAGCCTGTAGTTTTCCACATCAGAAAGTAGTAGTACTGAGTTCTGAAAAGGTATGGTGTCTTTAGAAATTTTGTTTCAGTTATTCTTTTGTAAAGAAATGGGTACCTTTTTATTTACTTCCAAGTCGATTTTACTTAAACTTATTCCCAGCTCAAGGAATGGGATTGTTGTATGTCTGAACGTGTATGTGCATTAACTTTTCTGTTACCTGCAGTCTGGGAGGTCTGGGTGGGAGCGGTAAGGCTTTAAACTTTCAACTGAGGGTCTAGCTTTCTTTGCATGCATTTTATTTTGCAGAACTTTTAGGATTAGGCAGCTCTGAGGCTGCTTCCTTTTCGTGGGGGTGGTTACCATGGAAAATGGAATTATTTTAAACCACAGTGTGAGTTAAGAGGAAAAAATTTCTCTTCCTTATATGGGAACTTACACACACACACACACACACACACACACACATTCTTACTTACTCCCTGTGGTTGTGACATTAACTGTTTAACAGCAGTAGAGTTTTCATTCCTTTGCAGACCTGAGTTGCACATGCAATTTAAATATGAGTTTCTTTTAAGAAGGTAAAAACTCAATTAATTTAAATATATTTCTCCCCGGGATTCTTACTCATCAAGTATGACTAAGAGTTGCAGATAGTCCGGCCTGCAATGTTTATATTTTCCACTAATCCTTTCCAAAGAGTATGAGGTAGTTTATTCCTAGTCAGTTTCTGTTGACTCAACAGGGATTTTTTTAAAAGCTTCTAACATTTTCTGACTGAGAAAGAACAGTTCATGGGAGTGGTAAAGAAAAGCAGGATGTTGATAAAGCAACGGTCTTGCTGTGTGAGAGCTTTCTAAAATTTGATTTCCAGATTTACATCTACCTGCTTGGAAGAATGTTGGAATTACGCCCTTTCGAACAACGCCCTTTCAAATACTATGCCTGCAGCTCTCCTCAGGCTGCCGCTTCATGATGCATTTATCTAGAGACAGGATTTAGCCTTCAGTCTCTAGATGTAAGCATCTGGAGTGAACTGTGATTCAAGGATTCTCCTCAGTCAAGAACAAATGTTTGCAGTTATCCAGAAAGCATGGTTTTGAACTACTGGAGTTCATAGGTCTTCCCAACAGAATCCATGTTTTGGCCAGCCCCTATAGTATGTGTATCTGTCTTGGGTGCACTTGAAAACGTCTTCAAAAGTAACATCCAGAACAACATATAACCGAGCTGGGAGTGTTAGAGACAAAATCTGAAGGATCAGTCTATGGCACTGCTGCCCCGGGCTGGGTCTTTCCTACACATCTCCAGGAGCACGTCTTCTCTTCCAAATTTACAACAGAGGAACACCACCATGTGTGTGTTTTTGGACCATGCATGAGAAAGTCTTAGTATTTTTCCCCCTGGGGCTGGATGGGGAAGATTGGCCTCCCTCATAGTTCAAAACACTTGAAGTCAGAAAAAAGGAAAAGAAACTCGAGAATCAAGGCTTAGCTAATATTTGTAATTTCATAAAAATATCTTGATGCTAAGCTCCCAAAACAAGATCTTACTGGAATTCTTAGGAAGAATGAAAATAAGAAGGTGCAGAAGAGTCAGATCCAACTTATAATGTATTGGTTTTGAGGAAACATCTCTCAGTCCGTTCTTTGCAATAGGAATATGGAGATGGCTTTATCACTTGCTATCCTCTACTAACTTAAGTGAGATAGATGAATGGATCCATTAAGTTAGAAATGGCACACTATGCCAGTTGGATGCTAATGTCTCTTGCAGAGCTTCTGGAAAGTCCAACTAGAAACTCCCAGGTCTCTTCTGTCACCTGGTTTCTCTCTATCTGCCTATCTAAGGTGGTCACCTTAGAAGTGGTACATGAATCTGCCATGTGCGGCTTTTGGGATGGGCCGTGAGAAACGCACTTGCGGTATCTGACCTGACAGCCCCTCCCAGTGCAGCAAGCGGCATTAGCTAACATTTTGTCCTAATCTTTGCTTTCCCTTTGCAGAAACTTGAATCATCATGGCTTTTGTACAAGAATTTCTGAAGCAGGCCTTCTTTATTGACAACGACGAGCCACAATGTGTTGTAAGAGATTCTCAAAAGAATTATACATGTATACACAATAAGATTAGAAAAGAGTCAAAGAAGCAGGATGATGATGATGATGATGATGATGGAAGAGGTGGTGATGATTAGCACAATGATTAAGGTCTGAGGAAGTGTCCTGCTTGAACACACTTCAGTGCAAACAGCGCTCTCTGCTTTTGGGGCCCCTGATAAAGTTCTCACCTGCATGTGGACAATTATACCTCTCTTCAAGTGAACACTGTTGCTTACTGTGGTAAACCTGGGGACTGAGGTTCACTCTGATGTACACGGGAACATTGGGGGAAGCACGGACAGTTCCATTCCCCAGGGGAGGCATCCCAACTGCAAAAAAGCTGAGAAACTAGATCATAGGAGGCTGGGAAAAAGTGGGTGGGACCGCGGGAGGGAGAGGGCCGTCCAGGGATGGGTTGGAAACCCAAAGACCTGAAGAGTCCTGGATCTGAAGTTCCTTTTCTCTGCCCTAGGCAGCTTTGGCCCTCACATATTCAGGCAAACACCTAAGCAGTGTTCTGGTCTAAAAGCAAATATCCTGCAAAAGCGATAGGACTCTAGTTGTTGGAAAATGCAATATGCAAAAGATACAGAGATTGTACTTGCATTTCAAATGAATGAATCTGGAATTAACACCATCCTTAGCTGTGCAGTTAAGTTTGTGAGACGCGACAGTTCCATCCTTAATCCTGTATTGAGAGAGTAAGGGAAATGGTGTTCTGCAGTTTGACTAGGTTTATTCTAATTAGCTGTATTATCCTATTGTGCTGCATTTAGGTTATACTTGAGCCACCTGTTTCTAAATGTAATTTATCTCAAGCCTTCGGGAGAGGAATTTAAACCAAATGAAATTTCTCCTTTATTCAATATCTCCTTCAGAAGAATTCAAAAACTGGCTCAGCGGTCCATGCTTATCCTAGCTTCAATCCTTCGGCAGATGCTGCTGCCCTGGACAAAGCCATCACTGCTAAAGGTGAGATGGAAAGGAGAGCTTGGGTCCAAATGGGTTCTGCTTGTCCCAGGAAGGCTGTTACTCACACAGCTGCTGAATTTTGATTCAGAGCACTCCCCATATCCCAAGCAGTGGGTTTTTCAGGAGTACCTCAGGCCGCTGAGAAAAAGGGAAGGCAGGAAAGCACCACTCTATGAGTGGAACCTAGGAGGCTGTCCTGTTAAGTGATCCTTTTGGGCTGTGTTTTTTATTGTTAGTACTTTTTATCCCACACCTCAGCCCAAAAGGCTCCCAGAGTGAATCACTAAATTTGGACAGATGCTGCCTGCGTGCTTACAATCTGAAAAGATGACTCACAAAGAAAACGGAAGGAAAGAAGGGGGAAAAGTCTTCCAGCAGGGCTGGTGGAATGGCCCTGTTTTCCACTCTCCTCACCTGCAGTGCAGGCTGCCAAAATTTTCAGAAGGCATGTGGACCAGTTTCAGATCACTCCACACTGAAATCTCCCCACATACTGAACTCAAGGCAAGCTGGGTTTCCATAAGCAGGGTTAGCTTGAACTGGAGTTCCTGTCAGCTGCTTTTTCCAGCGAATATGAGCTTCGTGCTTTAGTTTATGAATATTGGTGCTTAGGAATGGGCATTTTCAGCTGGTTTTGGAAAATAAGTAGAGTGTTAAAAAGGTCCACAAGTCCGTGGATCTCAGTCAAAGCTGTTCTGTTGTGAAATTCATGGGTCTGATCTGTACAAATCCAAACTCATTTCAAACTACTGCAGAGTCCTCTGGCATTCCTTTCTCCAGCAAAATTCATAAACCTGTGTAAGCTGTCTTGTGTAGCACTTCCATGCATGCATCTAAAGCTTTTGGGACCTGCCCAAGTTCTTCAAGAAGAAATGAGTCTTAATTGGTTGTGTGTTTATGTCGATTTATTTCCGCCTTGCCCAATAGCTTATGCTCCCTGGGCAGTTAATAATTTATGCGATGGAATACAAAGCAAAAATGGAAAACAAACAAGATAAATTTTCAGTACAAAAGTTAAATAGAATTCAAATTCTATTCAGTAGAATTCAAAGCAATTTGAGCAGCTAAAACAAGTTCATGCAGCTCTCCCCCAAAGCAGGGCCTTCCAAATTACATCTCTGCCCCTGATCAGAAAGAGTAATGTCTAAGGAGTAGCTGGTAATGTATCTCACCCTTGATGGAACAGCATCTTGCCCACAAAGCAGTGCTTTGGTGATGAGATGACAGCTGTTTTGAGGACTAGGATGGTATTTTTACAGAGCTTTCAAATGAGCTGACATTCAGCCAAAGTCGACCTATTACCCTAGTCTTCTAAATGTTGAAAGCCCATGGACCTCATTCTGATATTTTGCTGTTTTCTAGAGATAAGGCTGGATTTGTCCTCTCAAATTTCAATATGAAACTTGAATCTCAACATTCTTGTTTGGTGAAAATGAGAATAAAATTTAAAATACTCTGTGAAGATGTACATTTTATATTAAGTTGGTCTTGATGGCTGGTGCTTCCTCCTTTCTCAGGTTTATCAGCTGGAAGATTCTATCCAATCAGAAATTATTTAAGTGATCCCTTTCATAATGCTGATCACTTAGAGGAATGATGACACCATGGAAGGGAACTTAAGGACAGATTTCAGTGAATGAAGATAACATGGAAAGCAATAGGGCATTTTTAGTGTATTTTGACAGTAAGGACAGCAAGTGAGTCAACTTACACAAGAGTGAATGGTTTTGCAAGCATTGCCCAAATCACAAAATTGTGCATGAGGACAATGAACGATCATAGTTTTATTTGAACATCAGCACTGTGATGTGATAATATAATCAAGGGCCAATTTTATCACTTTCACATTTACAAAGGACTGTTTGATTTTACATTCCAGGAGTTGATGAAGCAACCATCATCGATATTTTGACCAAAAGAAACAATAACCAACGCCAGCAGATCAAAGCTGCCTACCAGCAATTAAAGGGGAAGGTACTGTCTGTACTAAAAGGGTCATCCTTAGCAATTGGCTTGGGGGTATTTGAGCTTGGCAAAATAAATGCAAAATTAAAATTAATGTTATGGGGGGGGGTTAGACTGTAGACCTCTAAAGCTAGACTGTATAAGCCATCCTAGATCCTGCAGAGTTTCTGCCTCCCTCCAAGCAGCAGCATCTTGATCTCCTTTATGGGGCAGGGGCCTCTCCTTGGCACCTTTTGAAGAAAAAGATGATTCTATTCACAAGTCCCTACGTAATGTCCAGCTTCCCCTAAACTGGACCTAAAAGAGGTAGCTAGGACTAAGCATCAGTGAGTCAGGACCACAAGTACAGGGCAAGTGCCCCTTGAAGAGCACACGCTGGGACATTCTCAGGGAGAATGCATTTGGCAGCGATGCCGAAAGGCCGGATGCTAGGAGTGCTTGATTTTTCTGCATGGAGAGCTTGCTTTAGGGTAGGATCACAAGCTCATTGGACAAAATAAATGGAGTGTATGAAGCCTGCAAATGAAGCAAAGCTCGCTGAAGCTCTCAGAGTTACTCTTTGAAACCCTGTCTACATCATTTCTCTTTTTGATGTAATCTTTTCCCTTCAATGTTCAAACAGGAAAAGAGTGCATTTTTAAAAAGCATATGCCCAGATGTGAGCTCTCCCCACATGAATTAATGAGCGACAGTGCATAGATAGAGTGTTTTTAAGTACCCTTTTTTCTAATGAACACATTTTGTGAATCTCAAGCCTGTAAAACAAGATTTGCCTTCACAATGTGTTTGCGTTTGTGGTAAGAGTGCGACAGTTTCTGGTCAAACAAATCAAATGAACATCCCTGCAGAAGCATAAATAATGTTCTTGCCTGTCAGGCACAAAGCATAATATTCTTTCATCTCTAAAGATAGGTTAAAATGAATTGAAAGAAGCCACTCCTCGTTTCTTGTTTCTTAAAGTAGCATTTCATCATCTAACTCGAGCTCAGCTTGGGCATTTTACATGTATGATTCCACCCCTTACAGCCCCTGGAAGAAGCTTTGAAGAAAGCACTCAAGAGCCAGCTGGAAGATGTCGTCTTGGCTCTGCTGAAGACTCCAGCCCAGTTTGATGCTGAAGAACTCCGGTATTCCATGAAGGTATGTCTGGCTTGCAGGCCTTGGCTGGGCTTTGTGCCCAGGATAGGTTTGTGTTCTTACAGCTGCATTCTGAAATGTTTGCTGGAGCATCCTTACACTTTTTCTCCTTCTCAGTGGCCCTGTTTTAGTTGTACATCTGTTGGTGCCCTGCTATTGAGTTTCTCTGTGACCCTCAATAAAACCTTGCAGAGTTGTTTGAATTATTAGGAGAGAAACAGTGGCTGTAGATTTCTACCCCATCTTTTTGCCAAAATGATACTCCAGATGGCTATCAGTTGAAGAACTTGTTTCTCTTTTTGAATAATCATGCTTGACCTTTTTTTTTAGGTGACACTTTTACTTTTCTATTTTGAAGGCATATTTATATTCTATCTTTTACAGCCCTACAGTAAGCATGACAGAGCTATGAATTTCAGGCTATGCCATGGCACAAATTATATGTATTAAGGACAGTGAATTGGGAGTACATTGCTTCTTGGCAACATGTGCAGGACTGGGTGACCTGACAGTTTCTTATGGGTGACCCAAGCAGTCCTCTTGGGTATTGCTCTCCGAGGCTGGGAGCCAGTGAGGGAAGTTGATCTCCTGCCCGCCCATCAGCAGGAGACCTCTCTCTTGGCTTCCTCTGAATCGGGAGGAATGTGGAGGAAGATCCGTGGATCTTGTGTCTACTCCGGCTTTTCCTTCAGCTTCCTCTGAGCCAGGAGGAGCCTGGAGATGTCTCCAGACTGGCAGAGATGGTGCAGGCAACCAGCTAGTGTGAGCATGGAGTAGTGGTAAAGAACGCAGGACTGGGCCTCGGGCGATCTGGGTTCTAATCCCCACTTGGCCATGGGGCTCACTGGCTGACTTTGGTCCAGTCACAGACTCTCAGCCTCACCTACCTCATAGGGTGGTTGTTCTGGGATAAGATTGAGAGCCGGAGAAGAATTATACAAGCCATCTTGAGTTCCTTGGAAGGATAAAAAGGTGGGATACAAATATAATAAATAGGGCTTGGGCGAAAGTGTGCTTGTTGCTGCAGTGCAGCATGCAGTTGCTTGTCATTTTCATGCATCCACATTTTGCACTTTACCTATTAAGTCATTTAATAAGGGGATATCTGTATTTTTATTTATATCTTTATTTCCCACCTAACAGGGGCTTGGAACTGATGAAGATCTCTTAATTGAGATTCTGACATCAAGGAACAACAGAGAAATCAGAGAAGCCAGCAAAGCGTATCAAGAAAGTAATTTACTGTTATTTCTTTTAAATATTGTAAAATGCTGTTGCAAAAGAGAAAACAAGAAGGCTCTGTTTTGTTTGTTAATGTACCTTAAGCCAGGAAAATGAGCTGCCTGTTCAGAGTTCAGGTTCAGGTTCACTTCCAACCTGCCCGCCTTGGTGCGTGCGCCATGTGAGAGCACTTATTAACCACGGCTGAGGCAAATCCAATGAATTGTAATTTTCTCAAAGAGCAGCTAGGCCACTGATGTTTGTTTACTTCTCTTTCATCAACCTTATCTAAGAATTATAGGGCTAGAAATGTAAATTATAGCAACTGAACATGCAACAAAGGAGATCTCGGCATACACTTACGCTTATAGGTAGCCATTTGGACACCTAGTTGGAACCACTGTGTCAGCAGATAGTACCTGCTTCCTTTTATCCTGCATCCACACTTTTTCCTGTTGTCTCTGAACCTCTCTAGTAAAGGGAAAATTTGGCTGCTGCATGTATATTTCATAGGTCCCCTTGGTACAAATACATAACTAAATACACTGGTATCCAGTCAGCCTCCATCAGCAGAAGTGGGGGCGATTCTCCCATATGGGTGTCGCCGCCTGTACCTCACCTCAAGTCAGCTCTGGGGGGCCTTCCATTTTTCCGGAAAGGTTATGAAGTTGTGGGGAGCAGGTTGCAGGCATAGGGATGAACCTCTTCCTGCTCTGCAGATGGAAGCTGTTCTGTCCATGGGAGAAAAGCAGTGATAATTCCCATATCATGAAGACTGAGTTCAGACAACACTTAAGAACCTTCATTCAAAGGTTAAGTAT